AGTAGTAGTAGTAGTAGTAGTAGTAGTAGTAGTAGTAGTAGTAGTAGTAGTAGTAGTAGTAGTAGTAGTAGTAGTAGTAGTAGTAGTAGTAGTAGTAGTAGTAGTGGTAGTAGTAGTAGTAGTAGTAGTAGTAGTAGTTGTAGTGGTGGTTAGTAGTAGGCCTCCGTCGGTCAGCGTTAACCATGGTAATGCATCCTACAATGGTGGAATGGTGGCAGGGACGGATCCAGCATTTTATAAGGGGGGTGCTTCTGTCAGTAATATATAGCTAAAAACTAAGTATAGCAAATAGATCGGAGACCCATGTGATTATTTTTGTTAGYTGCGTATTGTCTAGAGCAAGAAAATTTTGCGCAATYTGACCGGAAGGAAAYTTACTTTTATTGCAACGAATCTTTGACTATGMTACTCAAATTGATGGATTGTTMAACAGCATAGTGGCAGACTGAGACACATGTTGTGTATGCTACTCGTTTTCTCGATAAAAGTGCAACAGGAGTATACACAGCAGAAAAATGTTTAGACTGATATATAAAAAGATTATGTTGTCCAAAAAAGGGATGTGAGCACCAAAAGCATAGTGGGTGACGCATAGTGAATGATAGAATGGTATGTAAATTGTTCAAAATATTCGTGTCCCAATAGAAATGTCTCCCATTGTAGTCCTAGTTGACTGCTCGACTGGAGCAGATATCTAGTGTGGCTGACCAATGCTGGAGCGACAATCCTTGTTACAATGGTCATAGATGGGCGGAATCTGGTTGGYGTTGCTATCTCCTTCCTGCGTGCGCGTGTTCTCTATCTTCCGCTTCATTGCGCAGTTTTTCTTCCTCTGACTCGAGGTGTTGACTCAGGGTGCTCCTCCACTTTAAGCGTTCACTAGCAAGTGCCCCCATGACTCCGTATCAATGTCGAGGGCTTTCATGTCTCTCTTGTACACATCCTTGAAGCGGAGCTTTGGACGACTAACGCTTCTCTTCCCAGTTGCCAATTCTCCATAGAGGCTGTCTTTTGGGATGCGRCCATTCTTCATGCGGTGCACATGGCCCAGCCAGCGTAATGTACGTTGCCTAAAGAGACTCGTACAGGGAGGTCATTATTTTAAACCCATTTATAATAATTAATGACGCTAAATAAAATATAAATTATCTATTTTAGAAGTAAAATTTTATTTCTTACAATTCATCTTTTTCAAGTTACGTCACAGCGGCCATATTGGAGAAACTTCAACATAAGAGTTGTCATATATTGTGGTATAACTGTCTATTGATCATTGCTTGGGCTCCCTTTGGTTCACAATAGCTACCACAGGAATCCCAACTAAAGTTTGCATTCAGAATGGATGTTGCATGCATGAATCTTGTAGCATTCTGGCGTGTCGACGAAACTTGGTTTCAGAAAAAAATTTTAACTGCATGTCTAGGGATTTGACAGCTTCAATTTTTATAAACTGGCTACTTCTTTCTAAGGAGGGTGCWCCAAGATCGATAGCACGTTTTCGATAGGAAAAGTTAAGTACGTTTTGTAAACAGGGAGTCAAATGTTATAATTGAACCTTTCTTGAACATTTCTAGTTAGTCAGTGTTTTTTACTTACGATTTTAATAAGACATCATTATTACTTATCAATCGAAGGTCAGCATAAAGACGTCATCGCAGTCTTATAAGGAGCTCAGTGATCTAGTGTACTGAAAACACTAACCACGAAAAAAATTTAGTGCTACATTATATTGTACTGTGTTATGCGAATTCCTTGTTTTCTATTGTCACAGTCGCTATACTTTCCATTTAGTTATTATTCTTTTTCTCAGTTTACTGTTTGCAGTCTAATACTCTGATCTTTGAGCCTTTTTGTAATGTTACTAAGATTTTAAGCTTATATATCTTTCAGGCCTAACAAGTTGATGTTGAGCATGAAACGAAGAGTCTTTATAGTAGCCACATTGTTTGTTGCTATATTCATTATGATAGCAATACAGAGGACAGAATACCTAACCACTCTGTGGAATGTTTTTGGTGAGTAGTACATATAATAGATACAGATGAGTCAGATGAGAATAGTWAATTGGGGCACAGGCAGCCCATCTTTGATTTCATTATGCTGTAAAAATATTATAGCTTATACTTGTAAATTACTGATTAATACTGATATAATTATATAATATATTGCTAATAGAAAGAACACTATTTCAGTGCATTTTTGGTAATATTTGACAAAAGCTGACAAGGGTTTTTATGTGATGTTATTCAGGTACTAATAGATTGAATGCTATAAAAAATTTAGCTATTATCAAAATAGTATTATCCAAATTACTATTTATATCGATATTACTGACTTTTTATTGCAAAACATGATTTACATATTTRATATTTAACAAAGTTTTAACAGTGAAAAATATCTAATTTAGACATTTTTCACTGTTAGAACTTTGTTGTTATGTTTGGTAATAATTAGTTTTTTTCGTGAACAAGTGGTTCTACTTTAGTTGGGGCATTCAAATTTTGAAGTGCGCCTTGGATATGTGATCGTCAAATATACCTGCCAGTCATGTTAAGGTTTATGTTCACTGGAAATAATGGAAAGTGCTTAGAAGGAGATTGTTCCATGCAAAAGACCCTTGGAAATAGATTCTGAAAAAGTAATTTCCGACCTCATCCTTCRGATTTGTACCACAAGGTCAGACTTGGAGCAGATCATGGTGAAATTATACATGTAGATGTTAGCTTACGGTAATTGAAATGTTACGATAAGGGTCTTTTCTCTGGAATAACCTTCTTCTAATCACTCTAACTTTCCATTATTTCCATTTCATGTGTCTCATGTCATATGCAGTCCACATATTCATATCAGTTGAGATTTAGTAAAATATTTCTGTCTATTGTGTGTTAAACAATTAATTAACATGGCCACCAATATAAAACGAGGGGTATAATGTGGTTGGTTGGAAGAATACTTCTCAATTAAGTCCATTGTTTATTCACGCAACATATCTACAATCGCTGATTGAAGAACAAAATCTACTAAATCCCATATGGTATCATTTTATACACTCATAAATAAAGCAAAACACAAAATGCAAAATTTTATAAGAGTGGATAAATATCATATATAGACCATATGAAAAAGGGTGTAGCTATCGTAACATTTAAGGACCAGAAATTACAGGTGTTTGAAATTGCAAAGGTTTGAGTGAAAATTATTACCAGCCTCATTTTTCAAGTTTTTGGCACATTTTTGGCCTTCTTAGCTCTTCCGATATTTTACCATATGATTTTAAACTAATCGTATGAGGAAGTGGCTGATCCCATTAAAGATAATTAACTACTGTCTGATGAGTGCGTAGCACGAAACTCGGAGTTACAGCAAAATCTTGCCTCTTTGATATCATATATATGATTTTAAACTAAAAATACGCCAATTTACTAGTTTACATATACTCTTTCTTATGGTGAAAACCGATAATTTTTAAAAACATGGACCATGTGCTTATCCCCAGTCTTCTGCTTGTTTTTCATATGGTCAATATGTACTCTTAAATTAATCATATTTCAGAAGCTTTTAGCATGTATTGCTGCATAGCATTGTAACASTGTCCCGGATACACAATTGTTATGATATTTTTTCAATAAAACTTATTAATATATATATATTATCACCACCGCAGATCCAGTATCCTACAACGATAATATTTTCCATACTTCCAAGAATTTTAGATGCAATGGCCAATGGATGGATGAATACAGCCGTTACCATGCCAACAGTCTCAGTTCACAAAGCAGTGACAGGAAATTTCTAATCTACTACTGTACAGGACACAMTGGTGGTTGCGGTGGTTATGGCAACCGAATGATCAGCATAGTCTCTCTTTTCTATCTTGCAGTGGTTTTAAATCGTACATTTATGATCCACTGGGGAGGACCTGAGTTACTGGAAACATACTTACAGCCAAATCGTATYAACTGGAAATATAATTCACTTAAATTCAAGGGGCTGAAATCAATAAAGCGTTACTGGGGACTAGAGAGAAGTGCAGGATACGAGCAGTTCTTTCTTTCAAGAGAGGGGAACTTTTTACGTTGGACTCAATCAGTGAACTTTAGAACATATTTAAACAATCCAGTTGAACAAGTATCGTCAATTTGGTACTTTGCTGATAAAATATGGGATAATCCACATACGAAGACGATCGCTAGGGGGCTTGGGATACCATTAAAAAGCAAGGAGTACCCATACGCTATGATTGGCTGCGCTATGAGCTTTTTGTTTAAAAAATCCAAAGCTTTGATTAAAGAGTTCTCTAAAGTGCAAACGGCTATTCAAGATAGGCCAAGGCCTTTTATCGGCATCCACATTCGCTCCAGTGATTACCAGTTTGGTAGTTTTAATCCCCATAGTGTCAGAACGCGTGATCCGGCTAAAGTTTTTATATGCGCWGAACGAGTTGAAAAGGCACTAAAGAGCAAGTTTTTCTCTTTAAGGCATAAAAACTTCACATGGATTTTAGCAGCGGATAATAAAGATATCAAAAAGAAAGCATCGAAAGATTACCCGTCAAGAATAGCTACGTTGGACATTGTTCCTAATCACCTTGATGTCTCATCGTCAGGCCATCAAGATATTTTGAGAGATATTTTAATGGATCAACTGCTGATACTAGAGTGCGACTTTTTCATTTTGACATCAGCAAGCACGTTCAGTGTTGTAATTGCGGGGCTGCGTCAGTTTCCGGTCCGTTCGACGACTTATGGAGAGAGTTGCCAGCTAGATGAAAGGAAAGTTATCCTTGCTCCWAAGCAAAAATTCTAACAAGCGTTTGGTAAAGTATTTGGGCTATTTATTCAGTTTAGCTGGCCCCACTCTCGAAAAGGGATATCTTCATGCCTTTTGAGCTAAAACAAAAAGGTCACACCTTCAAAGACAAAAGTATCTTTTTCGCTCTCAAATTCACCGAAATGTTAACTTTCCTAAAAATCTATTTAATGATAAAGAATTGATTGCCGTGCGTTTATCGGTTAAATAAAACACGGATTGCTTTTATARTATAGGAAGTCAGTTATGCTCTTGGCGAGCGTGAATTTACCGGGAAATAAAAGACTCTAAAATAATAATTGACACTATTAAATAGTGAAAGACGATAGTAACAATGATCAGTATTACATCCCCCCTACATGGCTAAGCTTTACTTAGAAAACCCTGTCACTTTATAGTTATCAAAATTCACTGCCACCGCGGTCCGCGGTCACGTAGTGCCTGGAAAATGATTTCTGGTCCAAACATATGCATGGGAAATTCATTTTAAGTGATTCGCCGACCGTGGACCAACATAATTTTAGTGCTTTCAGTGTGACGGGGTATTCTAAAGTCGCTCCCTGTAAAATTTATTTTTTGGTGTACACGTTCTACAATGTTTTGCTAACACAACTACTCCTTTTTTCCGATGTGGTTCTAATTGTTCTAAGGTTCTAAGTGTACATGTTTCGGGTTCTAAATCTGGTTCTCTATGTTCTACATTCTATCGCACGAGGTGCGCCGGTTTCTATGGTGATGTCAGTTCTATATATGGAAATGTAACGACATCTTACACTCCCCCTCCTACATCTGTCTCAGAATGAATGAATAAATTAATGTTGCAAAATCAACACTATCGATATATTCATATACGTTTGCGTAGACAGAATGTCTTCAATCGACTGTAATAATCAGTATTAGATAGTAGGGTGTAGTCTTTAAACCCATAAACAAAATTTGACTATAAGCATTAAAGTCACTATAAAAGAAAACCATCGAATGTGCGCGTGCTTACCGTAGGTGTATTACTGTAGGCTAAAATATTTATTTAACGGGTTTTTTTACTTCTGCATTTTTATTAATTGGGGTATTGTTAATGTTGTCCTTTGGCCTTTTTAGTCCTTTTTATGATTGAAACGGCATCCCAGCTTGGAGTCACGTGACATCAGCTTTTACATCGCATTTTTGTAATTTTAAAAACAACAGAGGAGCTGACGGGATCAGTTCTTCTATATATAACTGTTCTTGTACGAGTCTTTTCCTCAGAGAAAGGGATTTTGAGCTCTATGTTGACAACTTCACAAGGAAATGTGACACCCCACTGGATTACACTGGATTGTTCATCACAACTATAGCGCTATAATCCTGTGTGTTAGCACTTTTCAGGAGGCCCCGACAGGGTCTGTTCTTATATATAACTGTTCTTGTACGAGTCTTTTCCTCAGAGAAAGGGATTTTGAGCTCTATGTTGACAACTTCACAAGGAAATGTGACACCCTTCCTTTTTTAAAATTCCTTGCCTGGAAAGTTCTTTCTTCCTGAATTTCTCGTTTGCAATCACGTGACTTTTTGCCTACCAAATCTCTTCCGGTTTCCAAGTGACGGGCAAACGATTATAAACAAACATGGCCGAGAACGCGCACGTGAGTGACCTTGATACTTCAATGCAAGAAAACACTCTTTCCGAGTACACTWAAACTCTAGACCCAAAGACAAAACGTAGATACGTCGACAAAATATCTCTTTGCGATGGAATCGATCCTTATATGATGAAATCGAAAGAGTTTTCACAAGATTAAGTCTAAGAGAGCACTGGCGGCTTCGGAATGGCGACGCTTCAATTCCCTGTTTGTTGATCTCTCTGCACGTTTCACATCGTTCTCTTTGAGTTGTTTCACCTTTTGATGTCCCAGTTTTAATGTAGGTGCCCAGTCTATGTTATTGTCATCATATAAATTGCTTGGACATACTCAAGACATACAAATCTATAATGGAAACACTCCTACATGACAAGCTAAAGTTTTAGGTGTTTAATACCGTTAACCGCATATGTTTCAACCAAACTTAAATCTACACAAACGAAAGATCTAATACATACTGTTTACAAAGTGATCGCTGCATACACGGGCGTTCGGAGATTCAATTCCTTTCGAACAGAGCGATATGTTGGCCAGCCATTTTTCATGTCGTCTCCTCGAAATATTTTTGGTGCGATCACCCTTGTGGACGACTTCTTTTGGTATTCTGAAGAACCTCTTATCTTTCTGTTTGTTTGATCGATTTGTACAACCATAAATTGAACAGCAATCGGGCATATTTTTGAAATTTAGCGCTAAAAACCTCTCTGACCTATTCGCAAACACAGACAATCTCTCGTGGCGTCAGCTGAATTTTGCCCGTCAGCTGGAAATATGCATTTTAATTAACCGGAAGTGACGTATATTGCAAACTAAGAGATTGCGACTTACAGCTGAGACATAAGAACAGATATATTTCTCCCAGGGACACGTCGGCTTCTCCTAAACAGAAGCTAAACCATGGTCATAACAAGGATAAGATTACTGCGAGGCCGGTGGGCTGTTTCAAATCACGTCAAAAATAACTTGAACAACTTCAAAAAGTAAGATCTAATCAAACATTTGCATATATGCGCACAAAGAAAACTCAGGTCTGAGTTGACATTGATGGTAGCTAACTATTATTTTTCGAAGAATTTTTTTCAAAAAATTTCCTGCAAGTCAGAATTTCCACTAGAATCAATCTAATGCAATTTTACCAAATAAATTTCGGGTGCCTACCTAAACTAGGGTCTTAAAATAAAATTCTTGCCCCATGGCCCAATCTTCCGCCCACCTAAAAAGCCTAAATGGATGGCCAACGCTAAAGTGCCGTCTTACCACGGTCTTATTACGGTATACGATTTACCATTAGTTGTTCTTTCTATAATTACCATGTCTTATTCAAGGTGTCAATATTTATCTCTAAAAGATTTACGGAAACAATCTCCTAAAAACCTTCCGTATACCGGGCTGGCTGTGGTATTTGAATATCCCGGATGTTGTCCATGTGTTTATATTACCGGCGTCTTCTTTTCAGTCGTCCTTCTTCCAAAAATTCGGAATTTTATCCTTTTTACTACCAAAAGTAAGTTGTAAATGCATCTCAGTTATATASCATACATGTATTTGAATACTGTAACTCTGTGATACATTGGTTTATGTCTTTCATACAGCTGTAGTATTTGGTAATTGTAGTAGAGATCATCAGACTGTCGAGTCTTTCGTTTGACTTTAAGTTGTATTCATAACATAAGCTTAATCAGAACTATTTACAACTTTCTTATCAAGACTACTGACATAGTTGCTGTTAAAACGTTCATTTTGGACGATTTCAACGGGTTATGCTTCCACTGATAAAAGTTAATGTCTCAATGTATTAAGAGTGGTTTTCATAATCTGTGAAACAAAATGTTCAGAGTGCAATATTAAATGTTAAATCGAAAAGAGAAAGAAAAACGTGCAAAACTAAACGTGGCCAACTTAGTAAGTTCATAGCGCTTCTTTATGATTTAGATTAGAGCTAYACATTACTCTGCTGACTAAGACAACTGTGTCAAGTGTTAATATAAGTAGAAATGATTGACCAGCCATCAAGGCTACAGGTTACATAGAATAAGGCATTGGTATCTGTAAGGTTTTAATGCTTCAAACATTCACAAGGCACAGAGCACCTCATGATTTGTGTGGCAGTGCTGATGGACAACATGTTTGCATCTTTCCCTCAGGATAGATGCCTTATTTTTTGAGTTGCCAGCTTCTAATGAAATCCCTGCAATTAATGACTCATTTTAGTGATATTTTTAGTTTTCATTTTTTCACCATCAGATTAATTCTACATGTATAATTTAGCTGAGTAAAGTGCCTGGTTAGAGGTTGAAAATATTAGAAGTAGCCAATTGTCGTTTGCTCCTTATAGTGCATCTTTCTTTTGAGAATGACATACAGTATATGAGTAAAGTGTTTGTATGATCACCTGCAAATGAGATTTGATGGTATCTAATGTAAAGATTCAACCTAGACATCTATTTGTTTATAAAGAAATGTCCAAATGATACTCAGTGGCTAAAAAAGCTATCAAACATTTGATATATATTTAATAAATGATTATGTAATCATGCATTGATTATTACATGTACTTCTTTGCAGTCATGCATAGACGAAGGGCAGGACGTGGTCGAGCAGGTCGGATGCCACCCTTTATGAGAAATCCCATGGGACAGAAATATATTGTTAGTCATGTCCCATTTGACCCTGTTATGGTAAGGAATCAGTGTTTTCAGTGATAGGTAACTGCCAGAGGTGTGCTCTTTGTGTTTATTGTTAATATACATGTATTTGATAAAACTGCTTGATGCCTTTTAAYAGTTAGTTGTATTAAATTTTAGTAATAATCTTTATTTCTTAATACAGAGAAACATATTATCACTAAGGAATAGATCTATCTATTTATTTTATTAAGTGAATGATTGAATGAATCTAATATTGAATGAATATAATAAATCTTTGAGAAAAAATTACAGAACCTTTGTTCTGTAACCTTTGTCAGGCTCAGTTCAACCATGWTTGAATTCATCTAACAGCATGTATACATAAACATTCTTAACAATATATCCTCTCTAGGCAGAACCATTTTTCCCTAAAGCAAGTCCTCAAGAAGATGATGCCCCTTTAACACAGGTAACATTATAATTAGACATGTACAATGTACCATGTACATGTTGGTCAAGTGAAGGTTTCATGTCCTGTATAGTCTTGAAGTGATACTGAATTTCTGGAATGCAGATAATGGATCATATTATCATTCTTGGATTCTTCCATTAATATGTGTTATCCAATGATGCATTCATATCTATTTCAGGCACTTTTAAAAAGAAATCAAGAACTTACTCCTTCAATGCCAGAACAGGTAATTATTACAATTACAATACTCTCCTAGAAGGGATGCCCTCATGAAAGCATTGCTGCAAGCCTTTGCATTTAAGAGTGACAACCATTTAGCATGCAATGCTATATACATGTTGTAGTTCAGGTTAAATATGATTTTGAACCAGTTCAATTTCTTCTGAACTGGTTCAGTTTATTTTGAGCCAGTCCAATATAACTCAATCCAGTACAAATCAGTTTAGGGTTAGGTTTAGGGTTACATGTAGGTTTTGGGTTAGGTTTAGGGTTGGGAATAGGGTTGAGTCAGCATTATATAAACATTTTCTTCATTAATAAATTGCAATTAAGATAAAAACAATTAGCAAACATTACTACCAACAAAATCCTTGATGGTATAATTGGTACAGTACTGTGGACTATGAAGCAAGAGTTCAGTGGTTCAAACCCTGATGAAGGCAAGTGTTATTCATAAGTTAAAAATATAGAAAATATCAATATTTCTGTGGGGTATAGGGTAAGATAAAGTAGGAAATAGTAGAAGGTAGAATAATAAGATGATAGATAGAAAATGGGAGAGAATGAGATGGGATATAGTTCTTTTAGTTCCTTTAAGAATGCCAAAAGCAGAAAAAAAGAAAAGAGCAGTACAAGAAGTCTTGTACTGGAACAAATTAGATTAAACTGGTTCAAAAATATATTGAACCTGAACTACAACATACACCTAGCATGAATAGTTGATAGTATTTGTGAAAGAAGGTCCATTATTGCATGCTCAACATTGGTCACTCTTCAATGCAAAGGCATGGCTACCTTTCAAGGTGGTGTGGGTTGACATTGAAGGAGACTATTGAATGAAAATTAGATAAAAATCAAACTGATTATCAGCTATATTTTGATATAAGTTATGGTAAGAACATTCCTAATGTGATGAGTAGAGTGTGAATTAGATTGTTGCAAAATAAAACCTACAAATGTCAGACAATTGGAAAAWATYCAATTAAATTTGTAATTTTGTGCAAGAAAAGTGTCACTCCCAATGGAAATGAGCTTAAAAGAATGACCTTCAGAGGTGTAAATTTGTAACAATTAATTTGTATTTAASCCTGGACTCAGTAATATGTTAAAGCAAAGCAGTTGCAAACTCACAGATCACTACTCKGCCAGGTTGTTGAAAGATTGATTAGTACTTATCACTCTTAAGAAGTCCTTGTTTAATGCTAATCAGGCTTTGAACAACCCTGCCATGAATAAGAATGTTTACAATGATTTGATATTTCTCATGACAGACATCTGTACAAAACATCATGACTAAAATTACAAGTATATTGGACAACCTTATTGTGGCACCTGATGGAGCTGAATTTGTAAGTGATTTTATTTTTGTAAAACTTTACTGTACATGTAAGTAATAGAGCAGATTTGGTATGACTACATGTATACAATTACAAAACATGATTTTGCACAGTCACAGACCTACAATCCTAGACAAAAAGGTTGAGAATAACTGCACCCTTCAGGTCAGTTCAACAAAACCCCCTCCTCTCCCCCAAAACAGTGTTGTTAGCACTCAAACAGAATCCAGCAGGTATGTGTGCTCTGTAAAGTACAACTTTGAGTGRAGGGGGTCAGGGGGAGGGCAGAAAAAGATAAAAAGTATACAGAGACATTTCAACATTCAGCGATTTTTAAAACATTCTCAACTTTTTTTGTCCAGGATTGTAGCCTACTCCCCAGGAAACTCTTTTATCCTCCTTTGGGCTTCCTTTGTAAAGGTCATCTTGGCCGCTAGGGACTAGTGATGAGAAAGAAAAAAATAAGAAGAGGAGGCTCGCCCCCATGATCACGTTTGAAATATGAGTTTCCCTCCGATTTGTTATATTTTATTATTTGCTTACACTTTATGTCCAATACTTAGGGAGTTGAAGAAGTTAGAGCAGTTGGTTCATACAAGAAAGGCACTATGATGCTTGGTCACCCTGTGGCAGACCTTGCTGTCATCTTGAAAAAACTCCCTGCTGGTAAGAAACCTTGCAATGATTGTAGAAACAAGTGATGATTTTGCCACACRGACAATATTAACTTATTGCAATATTATGTTACATAATTATCTGGTATTATTCAATATTTCTAAAAGAAAACATTCATACAGAAAAGATTCATGCAATCATGTGTACAATGGGACTTCAATTCAGGTATTGCCTGTATTAAGTGGCCACAATRAAAGGTCCCAATCCATTGCATCACCATTTTAACCTCTTTTCTGCTGCCAACCACAACTGAAGTTCTTGCACTATGATGAGAGCTTCATTGATGTATTTGAAAGTTGAGATGAGCCCCTAACAATTGTTCAATGTTTGTCTTTTCAGAGGCAGATATACTATCATTGGCTGCAAGAGTACAAAAAGCTCTTAAAGAAGAGGCTGCAACAGGAGATAGCTCTACCACTACTGGTAAGGTTCCTTTTCCAATGAAATTWTAACATTACATGTATCTATTGTCCTTCAATCATTTTCCTCTGTCTTGAACTATGTCTTGACTCAACATAAATATTTTATAATATTAAATATTTTAATTTTATTACAATTTTTTCCATTCCAATGAGATGCAACTTTTTTCATCCATATAACAAATTGTGCAAAGTTTGCAGTGATATGCCATCTTGTTGATATAGCCTTTTACTTCATATTAAGATATTTAAAATTCAAGTGGACCCATGCTCACAACAAGTGGACACACTGCAAAGTTGTGAATTCATTGCATTCAAAAGCAGTGTGATTTAAGGAATAAAAGACGAAATTCCAAACATCAAACACGGAATTTCGTCTTTTATTTCTTTTCTAAAATTAAAAGAATTCTGGCTTTGTGTGTTTTCGACTGAGTTGTCAAGAATTTTGTCTATGTGGCTGTCGTCTATCTCTGCAAATCTCGAAGTAGCTTCTGCAGCTTCTGTAGCTTTGATAGCTCTTCTTCTGGGATATCATCCCAGAGGACATCATAAATAGGCATTTCTTCGTTCATTGTTCTTGAAAATGAATGATAACAACAACAAATGCAAACGGCGGGAAAAAAGAAATTTTTGGCGCGCGCGAGCGTGTTTTGATACTGTAATCAAACATGGTTTTCGACCAATCACAGCGCGCGTAGTATCCTAAATATTTTAGAAAATAGAAGAACATAGTTACAGTGACAAATTTGTGTGGATTTTTTTTACCACATAGTCTAAAACTGAGATAAATTCTTTTCTTTCAACTGAGCACATGAGCGAGGCATGATGGTGTCAGCACAGTGTGCATGTCATCTTATTGGCACACTCTAATCATTTAATCAGCATGTAAGCATTTGCACAAACRGTTCATGGTAAACATGTTATTTTCAGTTCATTGGATTGCTTAAATAATTATGTTATTCACTATTTCTATTGTCACGGTTRAAGATTTTCCTATGCAAGCAAATGAGGGAGGYTTCAATATAAGTGGTCCAGATGGTGCTCTTGTACGTGTACTCATCACTACCTTGCCAAAGAACTTAAGGGAAGCTGACCCCACAAAACATGGTGAGTTGAGACTTGTAGGCTCAATGACTGAAAAAAATGTGCTATATACATGCTGAATAACRCTTGAAGAAAAACATCTAATTATGACTGTTTATCTTCAGTTGATGTAAAACTATTAGAAGGTGCCTTGGCTACTATTCGTCATGCAAGATGGTTTGAAGAGAATGCTTTTCATACAAGGTAACAAATGTGGCTTSTTTTGGATGAATATTTCTGGATAATTTATTAATTCTTTGTTATAAATATTTGTTTAGTATAAGGATTCTGGTTCGTCTTCTTAAGGACATGAGAAAAAGAATTGCTGGTCTACAAGGATTAACCCCTTGGCTGATTGACTTATTGGTAATCATTAATAAAATATATCTTCTCTCTGTGCTTTATGGAAGCCCTGTTCACATACATAGTTATGTAACATGTAGATTTGTTAATGGAAAGTTCAAGGTTTTCACACAAATTGTTATTGAAACTGAAATTGACAATATTGCAGCTATCATTACTGGATGTCCCAATGTTTGCAATATGTGGGAATGAGTCTTGTGCTTGAAGTACGTACTTTGAAATCAAATTTTTCGAAATCCAAGCAAGTACTCTGTAGTGAACTTCCTATATGAAGCAGTAGTCCCTGCTTAACTACTTACATCATGAATTTTTGAATGTTTCTTCTTGAACTCAGGCACATCGATCTGCWATGGCTTCAGCAACTAGACAGCCTCTTAACATTCAGGTTGCATTCAAGTAAGACATGTTTTTTCTATGATGTTGAAATATTTTGTGGTAGTGTTAATGATATTTTTTTCTAATAATAAATATTTTAGGCGTGCTCTTCAGCTGCTGTCTGCAGGTCTATTTCTGCCAGGTTCTCAAGGAATTGTTGATCCATGTGAGGTAAGGARTGATATGTTTCTCATTCATATTTTAGGTTGATAAGATGATTACAGCTACCATAGAGTACCTATTGATCTTGTCTGTGGATTTTTAAGTAATAYGTGAACAGAAGTCACTCTTATTGTACATTGGATGTTTTGTAACAGACATTACTGTTTGGGGATGAATCAATTAATATTTTTGCCTTGTATTTACTTCTCRTAAGGGAGGACAAGTCAGAGCACACAGCGTCTTAAGTTTGGAAGAACAGGTAGAAATACTGTACTCATCATCTTTTGTGACAAAGGTTTTCCTATTCTAAAGTATCACAAATATTTGGCTTTCTAGTTATGATTAGCARGCCCATTAAGAAAAGTAATACATTACACGAAAACTGTAGATAAATAATTAACTTTTTTGTTGACATGTGCGTATCAATCAATTAAAGAAGCTTGACTGAAAACTTGTTTTACTGATATGGGAGGGCACAGGAAGCYCAAAGTTGGACCAGGCATCAACACTTCATGAGAAAATTTCCTGGTCTTTTAATTATACGACTAGTTCATTGTTAAAATATGTATATTATTACGAAAAGGATTACGAGAAGATTTATCATTTTTTCAAACTATAGACCCCTTGCAGTTCATGGGAATGCAGCTCCAACTGGGGGACAAAACAATAGATTCTAGTTCCCAAGAGGATAAAAATCTTTTGTTTTGTCCTCCAGATGAAGCTGTTTTGACGTCACATGCAAGGGGTCTATATGCCCAAAAGAATATTTTATGTATATTATTGTATTGTAGGACTCTATTACCACTACTGCACAGACACTTCTGAGATGCCTAAATCATGGAGCCTTCAATGAAATCCTTGGWTTGGTAAGAAAAATAACTCAATGAAGGGAAGTGACTCAATAWCTCAATGTTGGGGATTGATACATTACTGAGCTTGGAACTGAAGAAATAGCTTCTTAACTGTTACTCTGTGTGAAGTCAATCACAGATGTACATGTCAGTACTGAGCTTTATTACACAACATCCAAAATGGCACTAAAAATGGCTGAATTTCTGATAATAATTGCTCATTTCCCCCTCTATTTGGTCTATCATGCATGATTTGTATTTCTTTTGATAAATTGATCTTTTTTACTTCCAGAACATAGAGGGAATGCCTCCAGTTGGTATGTATTATGGTTTTTTCACTTGTWTATTCTAGCCATATAACTTTGAGAACAGAATTGAAGGATCTTGAGAGTTCAAGTGTGAACATGGAAAAAGAAAATATATTGGGATTAGAAAGGATTAAGACAAGAGATGAGTGTTTTCTTTGTTCATTCTTTTGTCTACAATAAGATTATTGCTGTGGGGGAGGAGTGTGCCATTGTCTTTTTCACATTTCCTGTCTTTTCTTTTGTCCTAAATTTATGTTTGTGTCGATGTGCAATCCACTGAAACTGTTTAATTTTCCTTACTTGCAAACTGTTTATTTGTTTGTACAGCTGTGGACACAGAGGTAACGAGCTGGGGTGGTGTGATAGTCACACCTGGATCGAAAGCTTATGAAAAACAAGAAGAGAAACCTGAAGAAGAGGGAGAAGGAGAGGAGGGTGATGATGAGGAAGCTGAACCTTTGGCACAGGAGGAGGACAAAATGGAAACAAGTTAAATATATTATTAGTATTCATACTATTAAAACAGTAAAATCTTTACTTTCTGCTTTGAAGGACTCCATTCCTAATCAAATAATCCTTTAAATGCAATCTTTTGACAAAATGTTGCAGACTAAAAAGATCAACTTCACATTCTATGTATCTATATTATATTTATTAGATAAGCAACAAATCAATGTATTGTAGAATGTAAATAGATTGTTGTCATTCTTCCAATATGAGTAAGGGTTTTTTTGACAACCTTTTGTCAAAAGACTAATTATTTTGATTTAAAATGCTGAAGATTTTACACACACACATTTGATGGCTCTGCTCTGTGACCCTTTTCTTCTTCTTTGTAGTTTTCAGTTCTTCTCTGAAAATRCATCTTGCAATCATGTCATTAAATATTCGAGATACTTTAGGTACAACCTGGATTTTTCCCTAGTTGATTTTATTGATATAAAATAATTATTTTTATGTTTTTGATACAACATAATGTGCAAAATTCTTTAGACTTGTTTAGCAACTTTGATGTGTGATACTAGCTGCAAAACTACATAGTTTGTATATTTGCACTGATTTCCCAGTGAAAATCACAGACCTTTTTTCAGTTCCCCAAAGGAAAATCAAAAGCTCAAGTTTGAAACAATACCAGAAGACCCAGAATCTGGGTCATGTTAATATGGAATTTTTGAACCAATCAAATCAAAGCCTCATTCATCTMCAACCAAAGCCTGTGATTTTCCATTGGGAAACTAAAAAGGAGCTGGTTATAATAATGGCCAAGCATTTGCAGGTGTTTATTTGGAACTCATGTTGCATGACAAATGAGCTAGAAAACAATATTCGGTATAAAATTCATATCTGGTCCTCCTGCCCTACAAATTGCTAGTGATGTTAATACTCCAGTTGAAACAAAGGAAAACAATGAGATCATGATAAGATTCACAATTAAACTAGGGCAAAAGGCCTTATATATCCTTATTCCATAATACAAATGCTAATGGTTAATAAATAGTGTTGATCAGTTGATTAAGTTACAATAGAAAGTGTGTCAATTCTAGTAGACTAACCACCTTCTGCATTAAGAAATACCTAAACTACAGTGGATATTTTCTGCAACTGCTATTTCAGTATTAAGTAGTGTAAAGTTTGTTGTCTACATGTTATTCCTATTTATAKTACTTTTAGTGAGTGTTAATGTGTTGTACAATAATTCCTGTTCCCACTGCTGCATGTTATAAGTTAGAAGCTTCTTTGAGAGGCTTGTAAAATTTTAGAATAAAAGTTAATTCACATTCATGAATGCCTTCCCTTTACTTAAAAAAATATCTWCAGCTGCTACATAATGCATGCACCGATTTGTTTTAAAAATGTGGAAAAAAAWCATAGAACATAGAAAGAGTTGTTATTTCATAAAGCATTAATCAGTAAGATATCTCMCCTGTTTTCCTAATTCTCTTAGCAACACTTTGGATTATAATTGGGAGAACACTTGAAAAGGTTTTGAACAAGAGAGAATACGAACACTGAAAATATCTATGTTCTCTGGATTATAGTGTATTTATTCCCTGTCAAGAACATAACATATATCATCATTGATAAGGAAAACATGACGACATAAYATGAATGTTTCAATAGTGTCTGAAATAACAGCATTTGTCGTACAAGAACCAAGATCAAGAATGTCTTTGATTTCTCTCCAAACATTTGTACAAATAAAACTAGCAAGAATATGTTGAATGTTYTACAGGTGACCAAAATTAACAGCATTTGTCATAGAAGAACCAAGTCTTTCATAATGTCACATAGATCAGTTTCTTCATTCCATTGCTTTGATTCCTCTCCAAACTTTTGTACATCTTTCACAGACTTCAGCACTTCAAGTATTTTTGACTCTCTTCCTTTTTTATCAGAATGTGGTACAGCAAACACTATTTCATTTACCAAACCCCCAACCTTTAGCACATATACTTCATCAAACACGCATTGAATATTTTGAAGGAGTTTAGTACGCAAAGCTTGGTTTTGACATCCAAAGTCGATAGCCAATACTCCTGCAAGCATTAAAAGCAATTCATTAATCAACAGCACATCTGAGTACCGGCGGTAATCTTTCTTTGTGAACTGMAAATAAACCAAGGCATGAAGGGAGATGCAGTCCTTTCACTAACAGTGACCACCATGCATTGTTGTACAAAACAAAAATGGGCATTGCAGCACATTGCCCATTGCAGTATGGAATAGCTATCTGAATAAAAACGAGATAGTCTTGCAGGTGGTGGAAAATTCTTACYWTCTTGAAACTTTATACCTAACACATGATGTTTTGAATTAATATTAAAATAAATCGTTTTATTCATGAGGCTCAAGAAGAATGCACGTGATCTTACCATGCTTGTAGAGTATCTTTTTGATATTGTGAAGAAACTCCTGGTCAAAGAAATTCAGTGGAGGCCCAAGCAAACCTTCACTTGCCTCTTTTGAATTGTTGACATCAAACATGATAATGTGATAAATGGGCTCTGAATAAAGAAATGTGAATTCAGGATAAATACACAGTTTAGAAACACTCTGGTCTCAGACTGCCAGCAGGTGCTGGGGTTTTTGTACAACACACTGCTGTCATCTAAGATATCTATAATTTGGTTTGAATTGTTGATATTTAGAATTTGAATCTCTTCTTCAAGAAATTACCTTTAGTGTTATTATTGCCAAAGGCAACACTTGTAAGCAAAATATAACTTTTCAAATACATGTTCTTTTATAACCACTCCCTGGAGGAGGTGCATTCAAACAGCTTACTTATGATGAGTGAAAACTGCTGTAGCAAGCTACTTCAAAAGCTGAATACATTAAGCTAGATAATGAGAGATAAAGTAAGCTGGCTAATTAGAGTTTTCCCACACAGTTATAGCAACTTTCAAAATCTCTAACCATGAGAAAATGGCACCAACGTGGATGTGAATCCCTAAAAGCTGAACTGCATAATAATTAAACAAGCTAAGAGCTGACTGCTCTCAGCTTTCAACACAGAGCTAGTGTGGGTGGTMTGAGACTACTAAAGGACCTTTCTATTTGCTGCACAATTGTACCTTTACAGGTAACTGCTTTTGTATTTATAAATTCCAGTCCATCATCAGTTATTACTTTCAATCTTTCATCCTCTTTGCAATCAAACCACTTTTTGGCAACACTGACCATCTCTGGATCTATCTCAACAACATCTAAAGCTATCTATGGAATAAAACAATTTTGACATCAATAAKCAACTATAAGATCTTGCTATAAGTTTAAACTTTTTGTTGCTAACTTTGCAACACATTCAAGTATAGAATGTGGCCAGCATCTGTTCTCTATGATTTTGAATACTGCAGTTATATTTGATTGCATACATCATGCAAGAATGARTATTGCATCAAATGAATGAGACACATGTAAACAGCTTATTCAATCATTAATCATGGTGGACGATCTGTTTAAAATCAATGTTTTTTTTTTGTTATAAGCATCATTACCTGAGGGAAAAAATCATGAATAAACATGGCTACACTTCCGCCTCCAAGTCCAACCAGTAGGCCTGCTTTCTTTGAGCCTTAAAGTTTGTAAATGAAACAAGGTATTACAATTAGTTATGTATTCAATTCTCATGTTGTATCTACAGCAAAGGCATTGTTATTGATCAGAAGGGTTTTAGCTTTGGCAACCATGTATTAATATTATTTATGTACTAATATTTTGTGTATTTTGAACAATGTTCTATATTAAAATACTCATGCACTGATCTTGTGATTCAACCTCTGTGTGCTCTGATTGGTCAGAACCAGTGTGTTGTCATTTTGTTCAACCTTTCTGAGTCAGTGAAATTATGTGCTTGGAAAATGTTAAAGGAAAATATTATTACGGCTGTCAACTCAGGATAATCNCTCTAATTTCAGTCTTTTGCTTGGTTTTGCCTTTTTTGCCTTTAATTTTGATTATATCTGAAAAAATGTAAGAATGCTATAATAAATTATAAGCATTGAGAAAATGATATTTTATGGAAAGTATGTTGTCTCAACATAAAAAAAACATTATTTTCATGATTTTTAAAGTTCTGTAACCAATCATACTGCAGCTTTCAGCTTAAGATCGTAACAAGCTTGAAAGTACTATATAATTTGATTGGTTCATGCTGCAATCAGTTCAATCCCTGTATTCTGATTGGCCTGTCACATTATCTACAGTAGTGTCAGATCATAGTAGGAAGAAGAGTTGAATGGATCCACCAATTCTAAAAACATTTACTAGCGAAAATTGAGCTGTGCAATAATTATTGTTGACAAGTAAATTGTAAATAGATTACAGCACCTGTTTTTATATGTGCTTCTGACTGTATAACCGTAGGGTCATTTAGAAATACAAGGCGCCTTATTTTTTCACCGCCTTCACCAGATACTTCTTCTATGACATAGTCACCATGGAATTCACTGTTGCCCTTCTCTAAAGTATTGCGTATACCAATGTCACCTCCCACAGATAGAAAAGGTACCTAGAGAGATTATGTAGTTGTAAAACTATTTTAACATTTATAATTTTTTTAAGAGGAAACATAAACTTTCTTAGTTTGAATGAACCACTGCAAAGTTGTAACAAGTAATTCAAATGCTGCTTACTGGTTGCCAAAGTGCACCATACAGTACTTGAAACCTAGCATTTGCATTTGTTACTACCCAGTGAATGAAAATTATGTGTTATTTCATTGATTTTAATTTTTATTGTCTAGTATTAATAATAATCATCAAGGCATGGTTCATCATCAAGCCATGGATCATCAAGTCAGGGTTCAAATAGTGAAAATCAAATTGAGAATAAGCCAAAGGAACACTAAGAATAACAATTCACACGATTATGCTTAATATATTTCTTTTATCAAGTGCAAAGCATTAGTTTCCAGCAAAATATAAATGTAAATTGCTCAGTTATTGCTCAGCTGAGCATATCTAGTGGAGTAACTACATTGTATGAAGTGACTGGATATAGGAGATTAACAAACATATCCAGGTGTAGCAATGTGAATTGATTGGGGGCATTCAATGATCCTTACTACTTTTACTGATTTTATGTATATTCCTTCAATCTGTAATTATTATTTAAAGTATGCAAATAAGAAATTTGTTGTTGCTGTCCCATAAAAGTGCGAAGCAGGTTTACCACTTACCAAATTTTCATTAGTGACCCCATCAGGTGCCAAGTCCATAGCTTTGGCTGATAGTTCTTGTTTTATAGTCTCTATGTCTTCATATTGATGTCCTCTGTGTAGTGTCACTATGACTAGTCTTTGATATTTTGCAGTAGCAGCAAGATCTCTTCTTCCTTCATCAGATTTGAAGCAATGTTCAGTTTCACGGCCTTAAAAACAATGTGCACACAATAATTAGAATAAGACAATACATAATTCAGTTCAATGGAGCTTGTAATTGTCTTTATCACAGTACATTAATAATTCAATTGACATACCTTGAGGTATAATAAAAATAGCATATAATCCATTCTGAAATTGGTTTGGTGGAGAATCGATAACGGTCCAAGTGTACCTGGGTTCCCTATGTCCCTCTGAACCCCAAAGTTCCAAGCTAAAGCTGTTTTCTGGATCAAATTTACCTGTAATACAATCATGTAAAAGTACCAGAATAAATACCACAGGGAAAGGAATCTATATGGATGTTCTCTCCTAATTGGCTTCAACTAACTGATGTTGAGCAATGGAAATCCAAATAGCTATTAAAAGGCAAACAAAGAAGTACRAAGATGGCTTTCTAATATCAATAAAACTCATCTCAAGGAAAAATTACTGATGAGGGGAATATTCTGCTGCATAGTTCTTGAAAAATATATAATTTTATGACTCAGATTGTTGTCACACTTTTGGTCAATCTCAATAGGTCCACCAATTAGGAAGTAATAGCATTCTGTCCAATTCAATTTTGTCTTGCATTGTAGCTTGGATTCACAGTTTAA